CAATGCGGGGTGGGGGGCATGCTCCCAAGGCGTGACAATGGGGGAGAAAGCAGCAAATGCAAATACCCAAAGAAAGGGAAGAATTGTTTGCTCAGTTTATGAACTGGATAAAGACCAGTGACTGAAGCAGAGTGACCAGTCCCCAAAGATGACATAGAGAGGTAGGTGAATTTATCTTCCTTCAATGCTAGAAAAGAAGAGGGGACAGACTATTCATTTGGTTACATCACGTTACAGGGTGTACTATGTAGTAGCTACAGAGTAGCAGTAGTTCCTTTTGCTAGGCTCAGGAGAATAATAATCAGGAGAAAGTAGGCCCAGACTCTGGGAGCTGAAGGTAGAGAGGTCCATCTGTAACAGCTGGGCCCAGCTTTGCCTGTGAGCACAAGCAGTGACATTTCATGGCCTCAGCTTTGCTTACTGGGTATCTGCCTCCCCTTAACATCAGACTCTGCTAATAGGAAACTTTCCACAGAAAATCAGGTGAGCGCCAAGTGGCTATTTGCACAAGTGGTGACCACCACAGAGCAGCAAGGGCACAGGCTGACCTCGCAAAGTTCTTTCCGAATGTTCACCATATGTTTGGCAGAGTTAAATGAGCTGTCCTAGCACCATCCGGCCAGGTGCCTGGCACTGAAACCCACATGTTGGCAGATGAAAAATGACTAATAAAAAATCTGTATTCCAAGGGTACTCACCACTCTGCTGAATTGGTTACGATTTCTTCTTTGTACAAGATGATTCTGCCTTTGGTTACAGAACTGCACCCTCTGAAGCTGCCATACACCCATTGGAAGTAACATGCCCACTGTCACTCACAACCCCGTTCATGCCTGATGGCGCTGTTCCAATGCCCTTCAAAGAACCTGGCCTGTGTGAGTTGCACAAACAAATTGGGAGCCAACCTTTCCCAAGTGCCTCTCTCTATTCCATTTAAAAACCTTCTCTAATGAAGACATAAAGCTCTGGATGTGGCTGAAACACTAAGCTTGCCATGCGTGACAGCAGATCTTTGTCACAGAGGATTTCAAATGCCTTTTTTTTTAAAAAAAGGAATACTTAAAAGGAAAGAAACTGAAATTTCCTTATTATAGGCTCGACTGTTCATTTTATACACCCTATAAGTGACCATAATCCAGAAATCAACAGACAGCAGAGATGTAAGGTGACTGCAAACACACACACACACACACACACACACAGCTTCATGACAGAGAAAAATTAAAATGTGACGCCAGGCTTGTGACTTTTCTGGAATATTGGGCTACAGAAGAGACGCCTCACCTTTTTTTAGCTTCCTACTGTACATCTAATCTCCTGATTATTTATTACGGAGATGCTCAAGAGGCACTAACAAGAGTCAAACTTGGCATTTATTCATATAAATTTATAGGACATGCATCTGTGTGTATATAAGCCTGTCTTTGTCTCATATTTATAGGCCATGATTTAAAAAAAAATAGTATCTTTGGTATTCCTGTTACACCTGAAAATATCGTTGGGAATTATAAGTTCACAAGTGAACAACCCATCAAGATCTTTTAAGATTCCTAATCTTTTAACTAATATCACCTCAATGCTGCTTGAGGGTTTGGTTGGTTTTTAAAGACTAAGATATCAAAATGCTTTAAAATAGTTTTTCATAATTTCAAGTATCTATTTAAAGGCCCAGAAACAAATGTGAAAAATGCTTGTTCCTAGAATCAGGGCTTGATACAGATATATAAAAAGGTTTCCAGGCCAAAGATCTATGTGACATCTCTCTCTCTCCTGCCATATTGCTTCTGTCCCTGGCTTGAACGCTCCAGGAATGGGGATTTTACTGCTCCCTGAGGCTGACATGCAATTCACAAGCTGTGCCATTCTTCCTCATCCCAAACTTGAATTCTCCTTCCCCTAACTTCTACCCATAAGCCCTCATTCAAGCTCTTAGATTCATAGAGCATAAGATCAAATTAGTATAAAAAAATCACCTTCAAATGTTGGTGAATGTGAGCTACACCTAAATCTGGCAATACCATGGTGTAGAGAGGCTACGGACCTGCAGGATTATGCTGACACCGCTGATGAAAGGATATATTGGAGTAACCTCTTTGGAAAACAAGTTGGCATTATCTCCTTGAGTTGGCATTCACCATACCCTTTGAGCCAGCAAATCTATCCTCAGGTATATACCCAAGAAAAAGTATTGCTCATATGTGTAAGAATGTTAAAAGTAGTTCTGATAAAAATACCAGAAACCTGAAAATGTCCAGTGTTCTTCAGAGAGTAGGTGAATAAACAGATAAATTCACATAATGGTGCATTAAAAGGCAAACAAACTAATTGATAAAGCTATGTAGGTCATGTGGGCAAATAACATTAAGTATAAAAGTAATTCTCAAAAGATAATATGCTGCATTTTTATAGAGGAAACAAATTATTCTCTCTATATATATAGATACTTATATCTATATATTTATATATATATACTTATATCTATATATTTATATATATATATATAGGTATCTATATAGAAAGATATGGGATCTCTATATGCAGAGATCCTTGGAGATACATAGAGATGCCTAAACCTACATGTAAAGAGTGAAGCCGTGGGGACCAGAGGATTCAGGATGATGGATAACTCAGTGTGGGAGAGCAGGGGAAAGCTATGTAGGATATTATCCAAATTGTACCTTTTGTTTTGGGCAATGGGTTTGAAGATATTCATTCATCATTAAATGTAATGACAATCACTATATAAAAGGAAGCTATGATTGAAAACAAAAAATAACCATCATTGGGCTACATGTAATATTGTAACACAGGATGATTGCAATTTCCCTCAGTATAGAAATCCAGCTTTCACATAAAAAAAAAAATTACAACATAGCAGCATTTGCCATGTAAAAGCATTGAAGTTATTAATTGGATTCCAGATGTCTGAAATTGATATATCTCTTCACTGAAAGCCCCCCCCCACCCCGCCAGGATCTATTTTGGGTATAACACTTCATACAGGATGCTGTTCTTAATTAACATTGCTCTGCCTTAAGAGCTTTATGTCTGTGAGAGAGAGTCATCGGAACATTCTCCTCTTCATAAATTTGCTCTTATGTCCTATTTCCCAAGCAAAAGTAATATTTGCCTAGATTTTAATAAACATGTCTTCAGTAGTGATAAATTTCTACATTTCATAGTCTCTTTTAGTCCTTTTGTTTATGCTGACTCTCACACCAAAGCTGTGTTTTGAGGGCTTTGTAAATCTACCTGTATTTCTGCTGCTCACCATTGGGGGCAACAGACAGTTGATTATTATTAGGGTAGGAAAGACAGATGAGATATTGAAAAAGCCATTAATTTCCAGGCAATTTTGCATCTCTCCCTCTTTAATTTCTGATATTGGCAATAACTAACTCCAGTTCATTGACATTAAGCTGAAATCTCATAGCCAATTTACCAGTCCAAGATCTCCCTATGTTTCTAATTGGTTACTCAGACTATGTCTACCAGATGCTAAAAGCAAACATTTTTAAAATCAGGCAAGCTACTATTTTGGCAGAAGAGAAGCAAAATGACCTGCTGATTGACTGTTCTTTCACTTTGCAAATGGTTATTTGGGCTTTTGGTGAGGAGAAAACTCATCCACTTAAAAAAGGAGACAGATTCAGGACTTAATCCTTCAGTCACAGGCAATTAAATATACAAGGAATTATATATAAACACTGTTCTAGGGAAAATGGACCAATGCTCAGACCAAAGGAGAGATGTTCTGGGCCCAATGTAAGGGACTCTTCTGCTCAGGAAAGTGGGTGCATCAAAGGATGAGAACACAGAGTAATGAAGGCATGATTATGTTGCCAGTGTCCTGTTAGTATTATTGTAACTAACAGTGCTCTGTTGGGTTCTTGCTAATTTCCAGGTACCAAGTGCTGGTACAAAGATATTATTTAATACTCTTAAGAGTACCTACTGTATGGTGGAGTTTTCAGATGAGGACGTTAAGCCTCAGAATTGTGATCTTTTAGCTTGTAGGTAGTGGGACTGAGTGCCATCTCCTCTCTGTATTCCCTCTCTCACATAACAATATTGAACACAAGCAATACAGTATAAATTGAGGTGTTTAGGTTAAAGACCGTTTGCATATAGAACCTCATTTGGTCCACTTTGGCTACATAGAAGCATGGTATTGTCATTTTATAGAGAGGAAAAAAAGGCGCAGGAGATAAATTCCTTGAGTCTTTTGCAGCCTTGGACTGGAGCCTCAACAGCTCTACTACAAAGGACCTGCATCCAGTTTCTAAATTGGAGCATCCTAACTGATTAAATATATGTTGGAGGATTTCTGATTTAAAAAGCAGAAATCAAATTCTGGATAATGGTCCAGGGCAATTTCAGTTCAGTCTTCCCACCCTGCCGTCTAATGCTCTGGTACAGGGTTGTTGGTCTTTGACATGGCTGACTTGACTTGCCTGGCCTTCCTCACTATTTTACCCTCATCTTTCAACCCTATTTATGTAGGAACAGTTCTTCAAACAACTTGCTCTGTCTAACCACCAGTCCTTTACACATCCTCTTACCTCTGCACGGAATAAATTTCTTCCCTTGTTCCACTAAGGCTAAGTTACATGACCCTTTTAAGTGACTTCATATCAGGACACTTATTGTGTTCTAAGTGCCTTCTAACTTGTTTACCCTCCCCACTAAATTATACCTTTGGTGAGGACAACTTTGTAGCCCTCATCAATCTGCAATTTAACTATCATGCTCAAGGTTTTTATGGCATAATAAACTTAGAGCCAGAGTAGAGAGCTAAACCTCGGGGGCCCCTGGTCTTTACCAAAGGATCACCAAATGGGATCTTTCAAAGATAACATCCCTCTTTCAAGGATAACTAAAGAGAAAACCACACAGCTAGCAGAATGGAAAGTGAAAGATAGAGATACAGTGTGTCTCCTTGTAGTCAGCATCCTCTCCTCCTGTATGTCTCATAATTAATGACAATGTTCTAATTTCAGGAGCTGGAAAGGAAGCTGATCTCAGTTGTCCTACAACTCATAATCATTTGAAGGAGAAGCCTGAGAAAACATGGGAACAGGTTGGAGCACATGCTGTGGTTTCGACAATGCTTCTGGTGGTCCAGAGCACCCTTTCCTGAGGTGGGCCTGCAGTGACACCTGCCTGTCTAATAATCCAGGTGGGCATCTCACTCCACTCTGCAGAAGATTTACCATGACACCTGCTGGTTTCTACAATGTTCCTTCTCATAGTGAGCACTCATGGTTTCTTAATTGTCTATGTGCAGAAGCTGTGTCAAATGGAGTTTCCTTGGCCTCTGCTCACTGTGTATTACATTTTTAATCAGTATATATAATTACTTACCCCAAGCTGCCAGGCCAGATTTTCTGAGCATTAGTCTAATTAACTTAAGCTTGATAATTATGTTTTAGACACCATAGCAGTATGCATGGAATTTTGAGATTATGCTGCCAGCTTATTTGATTCTGATAACATGTTTTCTCAGACAGTGGGTTTAAAATTATTTTGTAAATGGCCATCTGATAATTATTTTGATTTCAAAGTTTACCCTCAAACAGAATCAGTCCACTGTTTAAGATAGCTCCTCATATAATTAACACAGATCAGACTGAAATAGTAAGTTTTTACATACACAAATCTGTTTTTACTGATAGATGCTCAGGCTGAGGAAATATTAAAGTCTAAAGAGTTCTGATTGTCCAGTGGGAGAACCTTTCATGTTTTGACTGATTAGTGTTTTTTTCACCTTTTCCATTTCCATTTTCCTTTTGATTGATGAATAAAGGAGAGAAAAGTAGAAGCGCAGGGAAGAGAAAACATGCAAGACTTCTAAGTGAAAAAGTCAGCTACTAGTTTAATTAGGGCACAGTCTATTCCCACACTAACAACAATCAATGTACTGGGCTGGGTCTCTTTCATGGATTATCTCATCTGATAATCTTAATATCTCTGCATACTAAGTCTATGTTATTGATTGAATTGTCTTCCAGAAATTAAAAGCTGAAGTTCTAACCCCCAGTATTTCAGAATATGACCTAATTTGGAAATATGGCCCTTTCAGTGGTAACTGATGTGAGATAACTTCATCAGAGGGAACTCCAATTCAGTAATATTGGTGTTCTTTTACAAAGGGGAAATTTGGATGCAGGGACAGCCATGCACACAGGGAAAACATCAGGTGACAATGAAGTCAGAGATTAGGGAGCTGGATTTGTATGCCAAGGAATGCCAGATTGGCAACAAACCACCCCTCCCAAGCTAGGTGAGAGGCTTGAAACAGATTGTCCCTCACAGTCCTTGGAAGGAACCAACCTTGCTAACACCTTGATCTCAGGTTTTTGTCTTCAGAACTCTGAAACAACAATTTCCCATCGCTTAACACACACACACAGTCTGTGGTACTATATTGTCATGGTACTAACAAGTTAATATGGTAACTCCCAACTTTACAGATTCAAAGGCTCAGAGAAGCTGTGAGATGTGCGCAAGGTGACAGCTGTGACATGGTGGGGGTTCAGTCCACACTAGGCCTTTCTTACACCCTAACCCATGCCCTTGACTTCACCCATAGCCCTATCATACCATAGCCCTATCACCCATATCCCTATCATTCCAGGAGGGCCAAGGAATCAATATAGCAATTTACAGAAATGGCTGAAGTGCTATGACCATTTTAATGCTTCTAAATTAAGAATAAGACTGAGTGCCCTGTACAGAGTAGAAGTTCTTTTCAAGCTGAAATACAACTGCTTTTTATTTAGAGCAGACAGTGATGCTGGGAATACCTGCTTCTAATTTTCAAGGGAAACAAACAGAATTTACCTTTTCTTAGAAAGAAAGCAGCAGTATTATTTGGTTCTCTTCCTACCTCTTACAGAAGAGAATAATGGACTAAAATATCACTTGCCAATTATGAAAGCATGAGGAGAAAACAACAAATAACACAATTTAATGACTAGAAGCCAAGAAGAAAGGAAAAGTAAATTTTCCCAAGATATCACAATAGATGAGCAAACAAAAGAGAACATTTTGCTCCATATAGACCACAGGCATGGGGCAAGAATATTTCTTGGAAAGTGGTACAACCTAGCTCAGGGAAGGAAAGTATGCAAATAAGGAATTAAAAATAAAAACAAGATAATTGTCCAAGGACATCTTCTAGAATGAATGCGATAAGTTTGCCACTAGGTAAAGGAAGGAAGCACATAGATACAGGAGCTCTATTACATCTGGTACATGTGACAGGAAAACCATTCAGTTCTCCCAGGAATCTTGTGAAGTAGAAGCTGTCACCCCCACTTTATAGGTAAAAGGAATTTTAAGCAGTGAGTTGTTCAGAGTCAACTACTCTCTGGCCCAGCAAATCATTGGCAATGCCAACATAGAACAGTACAAAAGTGTCCTTGAGACACTGAGGAAGAATCTTCAGAACTTCCTCCTTCTAGACCAGTAGTCTCAATCCATCTGTGGTATGTGCACAAGCTCACATTCAAAACATTCTCATTATTTGAATTCTCATTACTGAGAATTTTCACAAATTACATGTACGTTCCTTTAGAAGCGGAGTTCTTGTTTTTAGGCATGTCAGCACCTTTGAGAATCTGATGAAAGCCATGCCTCCTTTCCTGAGAAAAGTGCACACACAAACACGTGCATTTTGTATGAAACTTCTCTTAGGGATCCATGGGTCACAGCTTTAAATCCCATAACATACACTTATACCTTCAAGGAGCCTAGCAAATTCACAACACTACTGATCCAGGCCACCACACACCTCGATCAGGGATGTTACTTTTCCCCATCACTGGCTCCTATTTCTGTTAATACCCCCCTCTTGGCCACTGCTGCGGATTCTGCTGCCCATCAGCACAGACTAGGTACAAGTTATATATTTGGTATGTGCTTTTTGCAGTTGGAAAATTTGGACTTGAGATTTATCACTCCCTTTGGTTCCATATTGGTTCCACATCTTTAATCTCCACGTCATTCCCTATACTGTGACATGGAAATCACTCCATGGGCAGCCCTGCTTTTTCTGATTATGGAAGGAGAATATGCACCAGTACAAGTGAAAGCAATTTCTAATAGTAAGAGTGAGCAGCTACTATGTAGAGACACTGTTGTAAGCATTTTACCTATCTTAACCCTCACAATCACCCCATGAGGGTGAATAGTATCCCCATTCAATGCACAAGGAAGCTGAGTTCAGAGAGGTCTGGGAACTGGTGCAAGGAGGCACAAGACTGGAGGCAAACACAGGTGGGCTGCCAGCACCAGGCCTCCAGACAACTGTGTGCAGTGTCTCTTTCTAGACTAGATGGCGCATGCATCTAGACTAGACAATGCATGCAGAGGGCTGGAATTGTTATAAGGGGGCAAAATGTCCTTTAGTAGTGGAGCTGTGGGGCTGGAGGTTCAGAAGTCTGAGGACCAGAAGAGCTCGGTATTCTAACCACAATCCGCTCTCACCACCAGGAACAGACCTCAGCTTCAGCATCTCTGGTCTGGCCAGTGATGCAGATTTCTATGAAAGAGAAACATCTCCCTTTGACCACCTCCCCTTTCCTTTCATGCTCCCAAGCACCCCAAACACTGAATTCAGCCTGCTGGCCAGGCAGGTATCAGAGGAAGGGAGCAGCAGCCTGTTGTGGAGCGTAGGATGCCATGAAGCAGAGGGAAAAGGCCCTTTGTTAGCTTCACATGCTGTGCCCCAACAAAATGAACCCATTGGCTAGCTGTTCTGCTCGCAACCTGCCTTCCCCTGACTGCTAAGAGCTCACGTGAAACCACACATTGTCTTTTCTATTTCAAATACCTCTCACCTTCCCTTCTGTAATATTTTGTCTGAGATCCTATTTGTAAAGTTTTCAAGGAGTCCACAGCCCAGATATATGTGGGATGGTGTCTAAATATCCTAGAAGGCCCCGTCTTCACTGCCAAGTGGCAAATGGCAGCAGATGATGTACAGGCTGCGGAGAGAGTCATAATAAGCCCTAAAAATGCCTTCTCAGCACTTACAGCCCTGGTGGGCCAACCAGAAAATAAGCCAACCCCTGCAGAAAATATAAGGTACTATGATGAAGACATTATGGACAACTGGGAGAGCTATGAAAAGGGAGCAACTAATCCAATTTGGGGGAGAGCACCATATGGGGCTCTAAAAAGTGGTTTATCTTCCATACTTTCAGAATATAACAAGACCCCAAGATACCATGCTGAGCTCAATGCTAAGCACTTGCCTGCTTTACCTTACTTAATTGAAAACATTTGAACATCCCACCTAGAGCATTTTCTCCCCCCACTTTAGTAGCTGACTCCTTCTCACCCTCTGGTCTTTAAAGGGGCTGTAAAACCTTTAAAGTGCCTTACTTCCCCCTGTGTCCCATCATGGGGTATTTCCTGCTGCTTCCAGGACATGGACCACGGGCCAACATCCCAGGGGTCTGTTAGAAATGCAGACTCTCAGGCACTAGCCCTGGTGAGTTATAAGCCTGTTAAACTGCCCATCTACACAGTAGCTGCTAGCCACGGGTGGTTCTTGGGCACTTGAAACAGGGCTTGTCTGAAGAGATGGGTACTGTAAGCATAAAATACACATCAGAGTTAGAAGCCTTACTGCAGAAAAAGAATTACAGTATCTTGTTAATATGATGATTACCTGTTGAAATAATACTTTAGGCATTAAAATTAATTTTATCTCTCTTTTTTTAACGTAGCTACCATAAAGTTTAAAATTATATGTGCACCTTGTATTATATTACATTGGACAGGGTTGCTTTAAAATGTGACAAATGCTGGTTTAGGATGCTGGCCAGGAACAGTTGGCCAAGTACAGTCCTTGGGTCAAATTTGGCTCAGTGCCTCTTTTGGTAAATAAACTTTAATCGAAATGGGTCCCAGGGCAAGTTAGGGTTAAGTAGGCAGCTTCAGGGACAGTGCAGGCAGGGCCTTAGGGAGAGTTAAAGAAGCTTCTGAGATAAAGACAGTAAATTCTAAGAGGTGCTAAACAAAACATACTCCAGAGATGAGGTCAGGAAGTCCAGGAGGACTAAACCAAAACAGTACAAGTTGAGCGAATAAGACCTTGGGCAGGTAAGTTTACCTTAGAGGTAAACTCTAAGGTAAGAGAGAAAAAGGTTTAAATACTCCTGGACATGG